ACTAGATCCTTGTCTCTTGGCATAGTCCGAGGATCTGATAATTATTTTCCACAACCCAAAACACAAATCCTCTCTTTGTAAGGTCAACCTCTAAAAAAAGGGGAGGAAAAACCAGCCCAGCCCATTTAACCACTAAAATCGGGGCTTTGCATCTATACCCGCTTTTGGGGTCACAATTGAATCTGTACCTACTTTGCAACAAAAATTGCAAGTCTACCCATTTTATGATCAACTTCAAACTTATCGGGTCTAAAGGTAAAAAAAAATTAATCTGAAGTGAAAAAATTGCCTTCACTGAAATACCACACACCCTTAAACACGGTCATGTTAGTGCAAATCTTGGCTTTGAACATATTTTTCTCACTATTTCATATATATATACTCGATCTTCGACGCTCGAATTCAATCACGACTTAACTATCGAACTTCTACTCAAACTTCAAAAATTTATCTATCTAATTAAGCTCCAAAAATACATCTTATCTTGGATTCTCAACCTACACAACAGGAAACACGTAATAAGTATAAATTATCGATACTTTACCTTAAACACAGTTAAAATGTAGGAAATAATAGGTGCAAAGTAGCCAAAAACTCGTATTTCTAGCCTATCATCACATACTAAACCACTGATCAGTTTTCCCTAATAACCGCGTGTATACCATTAAGAGAGAAACATGAGAGGGCGACCCTAGGGAGATAGATCCATATCTACAGCAAGCACGACCAATTCAACGTGCTACCAACCTAGCGTGGTCTCAGACTCAATATCGTAAATCGCTCGGCGTGATCACAGGCATAGCAGTACAATCTTCCCGGCGTGGTCACAGGCATAACAACATAATTTGCCCAGCATGGCCACAGGCACCCAGCCCAATCATATCACATATGAGCAAATAAACAAGAATAGATGTATGTGATGAATGAACAACAAATCTCATGCTCCTGGACTAGTATAGATGATATGCTAGTGGGCATAACATCCGAAAAATTGAATTCCGAACCGGACCGAATTATTCGGTATTTCGGTATCGATTTTTTGGTTATTCGGCATTTCGGTACGGTCCTCGGTATTGAGGTTTCGATATTTCGATATACCGAAATACCGAACAATTAGAATGGATTGTTAAACATTAGTCTTAATTTTTGTAATAAAAGACAGTAGCTTTTCGTTATGGAATGAGATGTTTGTCCATGATTTCTAGAATATCACGGCAAATTTTGGACAGCTCCTCTTTTACCTTCCGCATATATCCCTTAATCAACTTCACATTGTTCTTGTTTCCATTTGACTCTTCTTTATGCTCAATGGAAGATATAGTACGCCAAGAAACCCTTTAAGCGCCAATAACATTCTTGTAACTAACAGAAAGCATTGAGGGTGTGTTTGGTATAACGAAGATTTTCTTAGAAAACAAGTAATAATCTTATTTATTTTCCCGTGTTTGATACGCAAATTAAGGAAAATGATTTCTCAAGAGTATTCATAAATAATTTAAATATAATAAACATGAAGCCATAAACTTTCAAACCAACAACCTTCCGAACCCACAAATTTCATAAACATTTGAACCGCTAAACTTTCAAAACCGCAAAATTTCGAACTCGTAAACTTTATAATTTCTAAACTCGTAAAATTCCAAACACATAAATCTCCGAACTCATAATTTTGGAACTTGTAAAATTTTGAGCCTTTAAACCGATAAATAATAAAATTAAAACCGAAAATATATTTAAAAAATATTTTTTTTCG